CATATTGGAAATTCATGAGGCTATTGAATTTATAAAATGTTGTATTATATATATTTTCTTGTATATAATTACTTCATTCAACATGTTATACTCCAAAGTATTTTATATAAAATAGATCCTTTTGTTTACTGTCGTTTGCATCTTATATGATTCGGTTAAGAGTTAGAACTGAAGCATCAAATGCATTTATTATTTGTATATCACCTATTTTTAATAGAAGTTAATTTCATCTAACACTTCCTCATAGAAAATAAGTTTTCACGATCGATTTTTATTGACATGGTTATACTTTCGTAGAAGCTGCATTTAGAAAACGTTAAAAAACAAATTATTGTTTCAGTATTTACATCTTTTACCCCTACGACTGTGCCATTTTTTTCTATATTTAATAATTTAGTTTATTATCAGCAAACAAATAAAATTTGGTGTTATTTATTAGAAAAGAAAATGCTAAGGGATTCCAAAATAAAATATTTCCTAACAAATTTAGATCTTATAGTTGGCTATTTAAGAAATTAACTAATTATCGATACATTGTCGAAATTTTCAGAATCGTAAAAATATGTTGTTAGATATATGTTTTATTGTTGACAATATTGTTGCATATATATTTGATGAGTTCTAGGAATATGATTTGTTTGTTACAGAAATGTACTTGTATGGTATTTAAATTTATAAAAAAATATGTATTATTTAAAATTATTTAATTTAAAAATTATAACAGTTTACCCCATGTAAATGAATATTCTCTCTCGGCCAAGAGTTCCCATATGTATGTTCAAAGAGCCAAGATTACATGGTGCTCTTGGCTCGGTTTGGTTCATCAGAATATGCATCAATCCATCTTACAGAGAGGTTATTTTTGGATCTTAGAGGAATCTTGGGGAGCGATGGGGGCAAGAATGGTTACTACAGAATCTGCTGGGACGTAATAATATATAACATGTGGTATGGATACTATGGTATACATACACTAGTGAGAACCTGAATATCTATTTGTACCAAGTGAGTTAAAACATATCGACAATAATCAACTTGTGAGCTATTAAGATAACAGAAATATGACTGTTTTATTTATGATATATTCGAGGTTTGTGCGTCGTAGGAAAGACATATGCATTACTTTCATCTTGGCTGTATTTTTCAATACAAAAACTAATTTTTATTCCAAGGATTACAAACATTAATCTGCTTAAGATCCTCCCTATACGTACAAGGTGTGGTTGGTGTTATCATCCACACAACATCCTTCTCCCACCATCTAGAGATGGTAACATCTCGTGGCTCTTTATATATGTCGA